TACACACACACCATACACATACATACATACACACACACCCCATACACATACATACACACACACCCCATACACATACATACACACACACCCCATACACACACACACCCCATACACATACATACACACACCCCATACACATACATACATACACACCCCACACACATATATACATACACACACCATACACACACACCATACACATACACACACACACCATACACACACACCATACACATACACACACACCATACACACACACCATACACATACACACACCATACACATACATACACACACCATACACACACACACACCCCATACACATACATACATGCACACACACCCCATACACATATATACACACACACCACACACACACTTCATACACATACATACATACACACCCCATACACACACACCCCATACACATACATACACACACCCCACACACATACATACATACATACATACACACACCACACACACACACACATCACACACACACACGGATAAGATAATGCACGGATGTATAGAAATACTTCAGCAGTGACTCAGGGTGAGCTGTCCAATAGCAACAGGTACCATTGCTATCCACCACCACTACTGCACTATCAGAGATTTAGGGCCCTGGGCTAGGGATGAAGCCCAGACCCTGTGAGTGCTGGACAAGCTAGACAGGTGGTTTACCACATGTACCCAAATCCTCTAGATTTTTTTTTTTTTTTTTGAGACAAGGTTTCTCACTGTAGCTCTGGCTATCTTGGAATTCACTACATACACCTGGTCGACCTCAAATTCACAGAGACCTGACTGTCTCTGCCTCCAGCGTACAGAGTACTGGTGCGTTCCACCACACCCAGCCTTAGGAGAGTTTTTGGTTTTTTGTTTTTGTTTTGTTTTGGGTTTTTTTTTAATATTTATTTATTATGTATACAATATTCTGTCTGTGTGTATGTCTGCAGGCCAGAAGAGGGCACCAGACCTCATTACAGATGGTTGTGAGCCACCATGTGGTTGCTGGGAATTGAACTCAGGACCTTTGGAAGAACAGGCAATGCTCTTAACCACTGAGCCTTCTCTCCAGCCCCCCCCTTTTTTTTTTTTTTTTGCTGTTGGTGTTGGTGGGTTTTTGTTTTATTTCGTTTGTTTTTGATTTTTTGAGACAGAATTTCTCTATGTAGCTTTGGAGCCTAGAACTTGCTCTGTAGACTAGGTTGGCCTCAGACTCACAGAGATCCACCTGCCCCTGCCTCCCAAGTACTGGAATTAAAAGCATGCGCCACCACCACCGGCCTAGACTATTTTTAACTTAAAATACAATTACATAATATTCTCCCTTCCCTTTCTTTCCTCCAATATTTCCTGTGTACCCCCAGAATTTTCTCCCTCTCGAAATCATGGCCCTTTTTTCTACATGTATGTATGTATACCCAAATATATAAATACAACCTGCTCAGTCCATTTAATATTATTTGTATGTATATGGCTTCAGGGCTGACTCCTTGGTATTCGATAACTGATTAGGGCCTCACCCCTGGAGAAGAGTATTACTCCCGATCCATTCCCAAGCAGAAGGAAGCCCTCATTCCCACACAAACCAAATTAATGTGGACCCAGTGCTCACTGGACATCAGGAGCATTCTAAGCACTTGATGTTCAAAACCTCATTTAATCCTCTTAACAATTCCTTGAGGTATTAACTTAAAGGTCTTAGCTAATCTCTATATCTCATTTGAGGAATTTATGGTTATAGACATTACATCACTTAATAGTTAATAACAATAAATAATCATTCATAAATAAATAAATAAAGTAATAAAAAATAAAAAGAAAAATAAATAAAATAAGATATGGTGGTGCAAGGCTTTAATCCCATTACCTGGGAGGTAAAAGTAGGATCAAAAGTTCAAAGTCATCTGCCCCTCTGCTATACAGATAAGGAAGCAGGCCTCTACTACATGAGACCCTGTTCCAAATGAATGAATGAATGAATAAATAAATAAATTATTTTTAAATATTTCTTTAATTTTTGAGATATATCATTTCTCCCTTCCCTTTCCTCCCTCCAAGACTTCCCAGATATCCCTCGTTGCTCCCTTGCATATTCATGGCCTCTTTCTCTTTTTCCTTAATTGTCATTGCATGTGCATGTGTGTGTATGTGTGTGTGCATCTGTATGTGTGTGTGTATGTGTGTGTGTGTACCTAAATACAGAAGTGCCACTTGCTCAGTCAGTATAACGTTACTTTTGTGTATGTTTTCAGGGCTGACCATTTGGTACTGGACAACCAATTGGTGTGCTCTCCCTGGGAAGACTATTTCTCCTGCCCTCAGCACCCCTTAGTTGCCTGTAGATCTTTGTGTGGTGGTGAAGCCTTGTGGGCCTCCACACCCATCCTAGCATGTCTGTGGCTATCGTCCTTCTCCAGCTCGTGTTTAGACAGTCACCTTGATGAGACATTATGGTGTAGCTTCTGACATTTCTGTCTGACACCATCTCACAGCAAACTCCCTGATTCTCTGGCTTATACGATCTTTCTGTTCCTCCCCCGATCTTTAGGTACCGGCGTTGTACTGTAGTGACTTTTTTAAAGATTTACCTATTTTTATTTTATAAATTTGAGTGTTTTCCTGCATGTATGTTCAGGCACCACTATGTGCAGTACCCACAGAAGCCAGAGGAGGGTGTGGGATCCTCAGAGACCGCAGTTAGAGACATTTGCAACCTGCCATGTGGATACTGGGAACTGAACCCAGTCCTGTGGAAGAACTGTAAGCACGCTTAACTGCCAAGCACTCTCTCCAGCTCCTATGGGTGATTTTTTTTTTTTAGTAAATGGTAGAGCATGAATTCATATCCAGACAGGCCTCACCTGCCATCCTGACACTCGGGATGGGAAGGTAAGGGGGAACTGGAGCTCAAAATAATCCTTGATTACATAGAAATTCTGAAACCCTGTCTCAAAAAAAAAAAAAGGGGGGGCTGGAGAGATGGCTCAGAGGTTAAGAGCATTGCCTGCTCTTCCAAAGGTCCTGAGTTCAATTCCCAGCAACCATATGGTGGCTCACAACCATCTGTAATGAGGTCTGGTGCCCTCTTCTGACCTGCAGTCATACACACAGACAGAATATTGTATACATAATAAATAAATAAATATTTTAAAAAAAACAGCAATACCAACACCCTCTTGTTTGTTATAACTTCTCCCACAGCCTTTTAGCTAATATCAAGTGTAGTACTAAATGCAGGCGGCCTAGCTCTGGAGTCTAGGTTCTTTAACTGTGGTGTCACACATACTCCCTCAAGTGTAAAGTGACTCAGACACACGCGTGCACACTGACAGCCACATGTTGTGGCACACTGGTCTCCTTCCCTGTGCTGAGAGCTGTACCACAACAGTTCACCGAGAGCCATGGAGATGGCCTCAGCCACACACGGGTCATACATGATCACAGGCACAACACATAAGCCTCTCTGTCACAGACAAGGTCCCCACACGACACTGGGGTTCAGAAGGCTTTTGTTCAACATTTCTCCCTTAGGATCTTCCCAACAGTATAATCCTAAAGGCCATAGCTCTACACTAGGAAGACCCTAAACTTCTTCTGTGGACAGATGGGGACACAGAAAAGGACCCACCAAATCACAGAGCAGCTAGGCTATTGCTGAGTGAGACCTTCAGCCTTCCGGCTGCCTTTGCTTTGGCTGTGGGCCTTCCCTGCCTCCTGGCCTTTCATTTTGCGCAACCTTAGTGCCTGGGCCAGACTCCAGATCCCAGGAAAGTCTGAGGGATCTTCCCGTTCCCCATGCTGCCCTCTTCTCAGCTGGGGCCCAGGAACAGAGCTGAGAGGGAGGGAAGCCTCCCACATCCCATCTGGGGCCAGACCCTCACCTAACTGGGAGCCGAGGCCATTGTCCCTGTTGCCTGCTTCGCATGCAATCCAGGGAAGATTGTGCAGACATAAACACACATACACGCATTTCCATGTACCCCCTCTCATTCTGCTCCCTATCCGAGTCTCCTGTAGCTCAGGCTCTCTTCAACATCACTGTGTAGCAGGGGATGACTTTAAAGCCCTGATCCTCCTGCCTCCACCTCCCAAGGGTAAGGACTGCGGATGTGTGCCACCACTCCCAACCCTCTTCTCTTCCCTGGAGCCTTCTCCTTTCCATCACTGTATTTAATGAAAGAATTACACTGGAGCAGCCCATGCACAGCTAGTGGAGGAACTGGGCCCGAATCCCACTCAGTATCTTGTCACTATAGCAGAGGCTGAAGCCGCTCAGTCGCCATTGCCTCCAGCAAGAAAGGGATGACAAGGTCCTTCCTGCTAAGGATGAGCAGGGCCCTTAAATAGATAACTTGATTAGGTGCTTAGCACCGTGTCTGGATGTAGCAAGCCCTTCTTAAATGAAGGCTTTAATAAGGCTGAGTGAAATACTTGGAAAATCTTGCAGGACTATATACAAAATAATTCTCCCAATTCCTGCTGCATGAAATGTAAGAAAAACAGGGGTTAGTGGCTGGCTTCGCAGTTAGGAGCCCTGGCTGCTCTTCCAGAGGACTCAGGTTTAATTCCCAGTACCCACAAGGCAGTTCACTATGTCTATAATTCCAGTTCCAGGGGATTTGATGCCCCTCTTCTGGCCTCCCCGAGCTTACACATGGTGCGCAGACATATATGCAGACAAAATACTCATACACATAAAATAAAAATAAGCGAATATTTTTACTTTTTTTGAAGACAGGAATTAGTAGCAATTTTCCAAGGAGAAAATGGAGGTTCAAAGTTTGAACCAGCTGGCATGAGGACAAGGCCACTCCGTGCTGCTGGCAAATCGCCCTGTGGCTGGGAAGACATTGTTAGCCACTGTGTGTAGGTGCCAGTGCCTACAGGTGATGCTGTGTGGCCTGGAGCTCTGTACCCTTTGACTCTTCCACTCAGAACTGTCAGAGGTGCCCAGTGGCCCATCCAAAGCTTGTGTCCTCTCTTTTCAGGTGATGCCCTTTCTCTGAGGAAAACTTGTGACTGGAAGGGGCTGCCCCTTCATCTCACCTGGCTGAAATGAACACCTCAGCGCCCCCTGCTGTCAGCCCCAACATCACCGTCTTGGCACCAGGAAAGGGTCCCTGGCAAGTGGCCTTCATCGGGATCACCACAGGGCTCCTGTCTCTGGCTACAGTGACAGGCAACCTGCTGGTCCTCATCTCCTTCAAGGTCAACACAGAGCTCAAGACAGTCAACAACTACTTCCTGCTGAGCTTGGCCTGTGCTGACCTCATCATTGGCACCTTCTCCATGAACCTCTATACCACATACCTGCTCATGGGGCACTGGGCTCTGGGCACACTGGCTTGTGACCTCTGGCTGGCTCTGGACTATGTGGCCAGCAACGCCTCGGTCATGAATCTTCTGCTCATCAGCTTTGACCGTTACTTCTCAGTGACCCGACCCCTGAGCTACCGAGCCAAGCGCACTCCCCGCAGGGCAGCTCTGATGATTGGCCTGGCATGGTTGGTTTCCTTCGTCCTCTGGGCCCCAGCCATCCTCTTCTGGCAATACCTGGTTGGGGAGCGGACAGTGCAGGCCGGGCAGTGCTACATCCAGTTCCTCTCTCAACCCATCATCACTTTTGGCACAGCCATGGCCGCCTTCTACCTCCCCGTCACAGTCATGTGTACGCTCTACTGGCGCATCTACCGCGAGACAGAAAACCGAGCCCGGGAGCTGGCAGCCCTACAGGGCTCTGAGACCCCAGGCAAAGGTGGTGGCAGCAGCAGCAGCTCAGAGAGGTCACAGCCAGGGGCTGAGGGCTCACCGGAGTCACCTCCGGGCCGCTGCTGTCGCTGCTGCCGGACACCCAGGCTTCTGCAGGCTTACAGCTGGAAAGAGGAAGAGGAAGAGGATGAAGGCTCCATGGAGTCCCTCACATCCTCTGAGGGCGAGGAACCCGGCTCAGAAGTGGTGATCAAGATGCCCATGGTAGACCCTGAGGCACAGGCACCAACCAAGCAGCCCCCCAAAACCTCCCCGAATACAGTCAAGAGGCCCACCAAGAAAGGCCGAGACCGAGGTGGCAAGAGCCAAAAACCCCGAGGGAAGGAACAACTGGCCAAGCGAAAGACCTTCTCACTGGTCAAGGAGAAGAAGGCAGCTCGGACCCTGTGTGCTATCCTGCTGGCCTTCATCCTCACCTGGACACCATATAACATTATGGTGCTGGTGTCTACCTTCTGCAAGAACTGTGTTCCCGAGACCCTATGGGAGCTGGGCTACTGGCTGTGCTATGTCAACAGCACTGTCAACCCCATGTGCTACGCACTCTGCAACAAAGCCTTCCGGGACACTTTCCGCCTGCTGTTGCTCTGCCGCTGGGACAAGCGGCGCTGGCGCAAGATCCCCAAGCGCCCTGGCTCTGTGCACCGCACCCCCTCCCGCCAATGCTAATGGCCCCCTCTCCTGCATCCTTCCACCCCAGCTCCAGGGAGAGGCCGGTGGAAAGTGTCCATAGGCTGTATCTTCAGTCCCAGGGCCCTGCTCAGGCCTCCCCTGGCTTCCCAGGCCCCTGGGTCACCTTCCTGGACAGCCCAGAGAGACTACTAGCTTTCCAAACTTTGCTATTCCCAGACAGGGAGTGAAACCCGGGGAACTGGTTTCTCTGTTCCCTGCTGTGTGGGAATAGGCTATTCACCAGGAAGAAGGTCCAGGAGGAGGATCCGGGTTTTGGACTCTGTTTGCGTTTAGGCAGGAAGTCAGGAGCCAGCAGGGCGGGCCAGTAGTTTAACGTTGTTGTCTTCCTTGGCCCGGCAGGGGGCCCAAATTGTCATGGGAAATAGCGCCCCCTGGGTGTATAGGCAGGAGCTGACACAAAGTTTGGGACTATGAGCTGGAGATCCCCTCTCTGCACAGGCATAGCGCATCCAGGTAGGCCCTAGGCACACTCTTGGGATTGTCCAGCCTCCCTACAAATATCCCCAGGTCATCCCTACGTGAGTCACCTCCAAAGCAAATGTCCAAGTGTGGGGAGGACGATAATGCCAGAGGAGATCACCAAGTCCAGAAACTGCAGCAGGACCAGATGTCAGGTGTCCTAACTGACCCACTATGTCACTTTCCGGGGTGGGAGGGAGATAAGGTACCTGCTATCCAGTCCCACACCTCTCCCTCTCCCCCTCTCTCTCTCTCTCTCTCTCTCTCTCTCTCTCTCTCTCTCTCTCTCTCTCTGCCCCAAAGTAACCTCAGTCCCTCCCTCCTGGATCACAGCCACCACCTGGGTGGATCTGCTCTGGGCGGATCTAGCCAGGCCTCCTGCATGCTGCCTGCCTCCAGCCTTGCCCCACACAGGCCTGGCTCAGCCAGCAGGTTCTCTTCTGTAAACTCCCCAGTCCAACCCATGCATGGCCTCCCTGCCTCCCTAATCTCCAGACTCTGCCTGGTCCCAGATGTTCTCTCCTTCCATCCTCAGCGTATGCTGAGTCTGTGAATAAAAGCCACGTAACCAGCAGGCACTAGGAGGAGTTCCTCCCTGTTTTGGCTCAAGGCCCTGGTCCCAAGGCCAGGACTGGATGGGGCACAGAAGGCGCAAATGCTGCACGGAGAATGTGGGCTGCAGCATTTAAGGTGGATCCGGGAAGGACAGCACTGAATGGCTAGATCAACTAAGCCTGTGGGCCCCAGCACCCTGGGGTCCGTGGCTCAGGTGAGCGGTGCTGCAGAAGGCAGACTGGCCTCTGGAAACGAGGGGCCTGGGTGAAGCACCCCGTGTATCCCGCACATAGCTGTTCTAGGACCTTCTCATACCCAGTCAGAACACAACTCCTCCAAACTCCCATTTGCAGATGGGGAAACTAAGGCCCAGAGACCCAGGAAGATTGCTTAGGATTATCTCACAAAGCAACACCCAGACTTCCAGGTAGTCCACAACCTCCTGACCCCTAGACTGTGGAGATGACAGACCTCGGACACCCTCAACCAGAGCAGTCCATCAGGGTAACCCTCAGGCCACAACATAAAACACTGTATTCGTAAGGCAGGTTCCCAAAGTCTAAGGAAAATGGACCTAAAGAGATTAACTCCACATCCCTGAGCAGTGGTTATCAAAATGTAGCAGCGGCTGGGAGTCCCAAGACCAACCTTAGTGTCAGTGGTTTACTGGGAGGACACACAAAACTCTACAAAGTCACTAGGATCACTGTCCTATCAAAAGAATGTCGGAAGAAAATGGCAACAGAAGGAAGTGCACAGAGCAGAGTCCCAGGGTAACTGGGCACAAGATGCCAGTTCTCTTCCCAGGGAGTCACAGAACACTTACTCTCCCGCGGTGATGTGTGACAGCCCGCATAACACACTGCCGGGCGGGAAAGGCCCACCAGAACCTTGGTGTCTGGGGTTTTCACTAGAGGCTGGGCGTGGGGCGTGGCTGTCCACGTGGCTGACCTCAGTTAGTGTCCAGCCGCTCTAGAGGTTTTATGTGGAATGCGGTCCAAGACCTCCACCACAGATCATGTAGATTATCTGGTGCCGTCCAGCGTACACAGATGAGCAAAGATTTTCCTCTAGGTTTGATAGTCCAATGGTTTGTCATGATTCCCAAGAGCCAGACAAGGCCTGCTGAGCTATCGGTGACCCAAACCTGGAGCACCGCTGTCACCTGGGAACTTATATACGTAAATTCCTGGGGTGACCACAGATTTACTAAATGGAATTCTAAGCATGAAACCCAGCTATCTGTAACTAGCAGCCTCAAGGTGATTCTGGCTAAAGTTTGAGGGGGGAAAACTCTCCTAGAAGGCTGAGGTCCTAGGTGGGACTTTAAAAAAGCTCTGCAGAGGACGGAGTGGGGATTCACCCCCACAGTTAGCTGCCTGGATTCCCAGAAACTACTGAACCTTGAGAGCTAATTTGGTGGTTCTAGCTGGGAAGAAATTCTCTAATATATCCTGGACCCACAAAGGGTCCTCCTCTATCCGGCAAGGTCATCCTCTTCAACTGAGCCGACGGCTTCGGACAGGATAAACATGGAGAGGTAGAGGAAGAAGACGTCTCCTAGTCAGCCGCTAGTAACCAGTGGGGTGACAGATGCCTCAGTCAATCACACTCAGGTCACCCATAACCCGTGGGATGGAATCTTCCAACACCATGGGCAAGGACAAACCCCTACAGAGGCAGACAAGGAGAAGGTGGCCAGAAGCTGCAGGAGATACAGCAGTGTGGGGATGACCCTCAGCTAGAAACCCTGTACCCCTGTACCACCAGTACAGCAGCCTCAGCTGAGACCCTGTGGAGGCTGCTTGCTTGCTACTGCTCCACTGTAGCCCTAAGTCCCCTTCAGGGGTAAATAGGCTGCCTATGTCAAAGGTACAGAGGTGGAGGCACCGAGGAAGTGAACAGCATTGGAAGAAGAAACACTTTGGGGTCCGTGTGACTTGCCTCCACTGAAGACCAGGAAGGAAGGAGTGGGACTGGATTAGGATCAGTAATAGGAGTAGTAGCTCACACTGGTCCCTCGTTCCCTGTCCTGGGAACCTCACCATGGTCCATCAAATAACCTTAGGCTTGTCTTCAGTGTCTTCATTTCTAAAAGGGGAACAGCCCCTTGCAGGTGTCAGATGGATGAGGCAAACTGGCAAAAAGCACTTAGTGGCTGTACCATCAGTGACTCCACAGAAGAGACTGCCACGGTTAAAGGCCAGACTAGGTCTAGTTTCTGAGTCAGGTCCTAACCTGTACTCCACCCTGGCTTTGGAAAATCTGGAGTCCTATACCCCAGTCCAGGAAGAAGAAATCTCATACCTTAACCTGACTGGGTTTGAAGAGAGTCCAGGAGCACCTGGGCAGGAAGGGGTGTAAACTCCAGGTGGAATCTGGGTCCTGCAGGCTCTGAAGGAGTGCTGCAAACCAAGGAGCATATGAACCAGAAGGGAGAGGGCCATTACATGGGCATCAGTCCATCCCAAACACTGCACCCACTCCTGCCCTGAGGGAGCCTCTTCACCACAGGAGCAAAGACCTTATCGTAAGGAGAGAATAATGTTGCTTTGTGAATACCACCTCTTCCACCAATACCACTAGACTGGAGCCTGCCTAAAGGAGTGGAACAGGTTAGGTTCCCTCCTACACCAAAGCCCCACCGCGGCTCCATCTCCACCATGTTACTTTAGCGCCACCTGCTGGCAATGCAGGAAATAGGCTACCCAGGAAACCTGATCTTTGCCTTGGACCAGGTTCCCCAGACAACAGACCACAACATAAAATGATACAGTACGTGATCTTGGTCACCCCAGCAACTACCCCCAAACTTCAGGAGAATCCAAAGACACAGAAGGCTCACAAGGCCTTATAAACATTCAGAAACAAGACCTTCCCTTTCTAACTAGTACGCTATCATCAGTGATGCCATGGATACCAGATGTCTTGACATTTGCGAGTAGCTCCATCCAAGTCTCAAAAACAAACGAAAGCAACCCCCTTAGCCTGAAGCCTTTGTGTTCTTCCATTTGGGTGACCTACCCCTGCAGAGCCCCCAAGGCCTGTAGAGTCCTTGGTTTCGTTCTCAGCCTAGCTCAGGTTTCACGGGGGTCAGAACTGACTCCAAATTGAAATTGCATTTGGAACCCAGGACAGCTCGACAGTCTGATTATTCCATTAAAAAGGTTCAGCTCTCCCTTTCCTCTCCCATTCCCTGTCCTCCTACCCTGGTATCTGGTATTTCTGCCTTCCTGGAGCCACCACTGAGCACGGTTGCTCAAGCCAGAGAGCTGGAAGTCAGCCTAGACTCTTCTGTACTCCCTGTACCCAGCCTACCTCTAAACAGTTCTCAAACTAATCCTGTCTTCTCCACCTCACTGCAGGGCTCTTGCACAAAGTCCTGAAACAATCCTTCAATTCAAAAGTATCAACCTTTTTCTGTCAAAGGTCAGAGAGCAGACATTTTTTTTGACCCTACAACCCAAGAGACAAAATGAAAGATACAAATCAGCGCTAGTATATGACATTGTCTCTGTCACTGCAGTTGAAGGCAGCCATAAATAATAGACTACAACAGATAAGAATGGCTGTATACCAATAAATTTATTTGAATCTAACATAATTTTCATATGTCACAAAATACTATTATGATTTTTATCTTTTTTAGATTTATTTGTTTGATGTGTATAAATATTTGCCAGTGCTATAAGCCTCTGAGCTATCTCTCTATCCCCAACCCTCATTTTTAGGCCTTTTAAAAGTCAGGGACTAAGGAGATGGTTCAGTGGTTAAAAACATCTGTTGCTCTTGCAGAGGACCCAAATTCAATTCCCAGCACCCACATGGTGGCTCACAACCATTCATAACAGCAGCTCCTGATCTCCACGGCACCAGGAATAAAAATGGTAGCACACACATATGCAGACACGCAGGCAAAACTCATCCAAATCAAATAAAAAATAAATACATCTTTTTTAAAAATATCACACACACACACACACAAACATAGTAATTGCTTAGGATAATCCCAGCTATATAAGACCTTATCTTGGGAGGGGTGGCGGGGAAGCTAACCCAAAGCTAGGCACATGTGATCTCAAATTGGGAAGCTAAGGCAGGAGGATCTCAAGTTTGAGGCCATCTTGGGCTAAGAGTTCCAGGCTAACCCAGGATGCAAAATGAGACCTTTATCTCCAAAAGCCAAAGCAAGCCTCTTAGACAAAGGCCTTCGCATTCAGCCTCTTGGGTTGAGCCCTCCTACAGACTGAGACTCTCCTGGTCTTTGAGCAGGTTCTAGATTCATTCCTTCATGTCATTCCTCTTCCCAGTTCCTCTGCTTGGACTTTTATTCTGCTTTGCTTCAAGATCACCTATGCTTCCTTCAGGATCCAGAAAGAAAAAAAAAACAGCACTTAACTCACACCCTGGGGCTCAGGGCACCTCAGTAGGCATCAGCTTTCAGCCTGGAGGAGGGAGAGCTGACCAGAGAGGAACTGGAATGCAGGAGCACTGGAAGACACTGCGGAGATAGCTGGCTGGGAGGAAGGACTTGGCAGAGAAGGAAGGTGATGTGTCGGGATAAGCAGGAAAACGGCAGTTAAGGGACAGAGAGGACTGGGGAGATGGTTCAGTGGGCAAAGTACTTGTTACACAACTGTAAGGATCACAGTTTTGGATTCCTAGCACCTACATAGAAGTCTGGCACACCTGTAATCCCAGTACTGGAGGGCAGAAATACGGGGGATGGGAGAACTCTCTAATCAGCCAGGCTAGCCAGAATGGCAAGATCTGGGTTCAGCAAAAGACCTTGTTGCAAAATAATAATAATAATAATAATAATAATAAGGCAGAAGTCCAGCATGATGGTGGTTGCCTTTAACCCCAGCACTCAGGCAGAGGCCAGCTGATCTGCATGAGTTGTAGACCACCCTGACCTACAGTGCAAGTTCCAGGTCAGCCAGGGCTACACACTAAGACCCTGTCTCCAAAAGCTAAAATTAAGGTAGA